CGGGGATACGAACTGCTGACCTTCCAATCGGCAAGACCAAGGCTCAGTGGTTTAGACCTCGGCACCACCCGCGTCCCTAATACGGGGCCCTATGTGAGGCCAAAATTTTGTGCCCCCAAATAGATCTTCTCAGTTTTGTTCAGCGCCCTGTGTGGGGGAACCGCCTGCACTGCCCTAAATCTGGCGCTGCACCTGAAGGACCACAGGTTCCCCAGCACTGAGCGAAACCATAGTTTAATGCTATATGTATGAGCCTGCTCCCCAGTCCCATCTCCTTCAGTGTAGATGCAAAGAGGAGATGGGAAGCCTCCACTTCTGTTTTAAACTAACCATTTTGTTGTTGTGTTCAAACTAAAAGCTGTGGTTAGTTTTAACTGAGGTTTATCTGAACAAGGCAGGATCTTGGTTTGGTCTTGGCTTGTTCTAGCAAACCATAGTTCAGATGAAACAATGTTTGCTAGCTTAAAATGGGAGCAGATGGTTCTGATCTCCTACATGCAGAGGAGGAAAAGAGTAGTGGGGGAAACAGAAGAGACTGAGGGTCATGTACATAACATTAAACTGGTTTATCACTGCATATCACTATATGTCCAAGGGCAACTTTTGCACATTAGCAAACAGCCCGATGAGGCAGAAAATGCTTCATTTCAGCTAGGTGGGCCTGGTCAGATTTATACATTACTGTGAAGAACATCATATCTCTATGCTCCCAAGTAATGTCTGAGGAAGCAGGCACCACTGTGAGCTAAATGTCTCCCAATGGAGAAGTGCAAGCCACAACCGGTTCTTACTCAGAAGCATGAAAAGTTGCGTCGCTTTTTGATGCTTCTGTGTTATGTCCTAATAAGCAATATTTACCGGTACTTGATGGGGCATCTCACCCTTGTTCTCACTACCTGTGTTATACCCAAAGTATTTTCCTCTCTTAATATGTTCAACAAGTGGGTTTCCTTCATTAAAAATGGTCAGAGACCAGGGCAACTTCGCCATCGCTCTGGGACCCGTTCTGGGGGCTGGGGTCGGGGGAAGCTCGGGCTTCCCCAGCCCCACAAGCTCCGGGAGCTCCCGGACGCCCAGCCCTGAGGCTAAAAATGAAGCCAGGACAGCGAGCGGGATCCATCCCGCTCGCTGTCATGGCTTCTTTGCTCTTTGGGGCTGGGGGGGGGGAGAAATATTTTTTTCCCTTTTATTCCCCCCCCCCAAAAAATAAGTGCGTCCTATGGGCTGGTGCGCCCTATAGGGCAAAAAATACAGTAAGTATTATGTAAACAGACAAAACAGGAGGCAGGCTAGGCAATAATTAATTCTAATATTTGAAATTCATTATTTCTTTGGTTTTAAAAACTGCACTTATATTATGTGACCTTTTACTCCAGCCCTTGTTTGTTCACATGAATCTTTAGCTTCTCCCAGGTCACTCAGTTACTTTAGGTAATATTTAATTTCTGACCCCACCACAATAAATAAAAAGACCAACTGAAGCCAAGAGTGTCCCAAATGACCTGATTAGTCTCCCTAATTCTTTCAGGAATCCCTTCTGGCTTTCAACCTGATTAAGATTAGCTGAATGATCTTTCAGCACCTCATGACGGCAGTTTTTGTTTAGAAAATCTCATTCTATTCCTTTTATTGAGTTTGAGTTATGGTAAAGGCCATAGCTTAGTGATAAAGCACATATTTTTATTGCAAAAAGGTCTCCAGGTAGGACTGGTGACTCCTGCCTGAAACCCAGGGCAGGTGCTACCTCCAGACAGCATAGACAAGTTACGTGGACCAATGGTCTGATCTGGTACAAGGCAACTTTCTGTATCCTATGTTGCTGTGCATTTGGTATCCTGCATCTTTCCTACAAAGACATCATGGATGAAATTCAGCACCATGCTATGACAGACATTCCATCTGCACCAGCATTTCAGTTTTCCAGACAGAATGATCCTCGCTCTCTTCCCCCTGTGTGTCGTTCTGTGGTTTCTACTGACCCCTGAGCCAATTTAGTGGAAGCCTCTGCACAGGGCTTCCACTGATGGAGCTTGTTTGGTTAATCCTGCTCCATATTGCTATTTCATACCCCTTGTTGTGTGTCAGCCCCTTCCCTTGCTCTGCGTTACAAAGTTCTTGTTTCCTCTTTTGTTTTCCTCTTTGGCTAAATATTTTAGAAAGTCTTTCAACTATCTTGCCAAACTGAATTTTGTTGTAGCTGTAATTTTCCCCCTCCCATAGTGTTCTTCAGATTTAGCATTGCCTTGTTAAACATGGAACTGAATCACTGCTTGTATATATGCATATTGGTAGGTCATCACACACACTATAAAGCAATGGATGCATCCTTCATATTTGATAGCCACCAGGATTACTAGCCTGAGTCTACTAACCAGCAGTCAAACAATGTAAAGATAGCCTAGGGGTGTGGAAAGATAGCCTAGGGGGTAACAGATGCCCCCTTTTCCCCTTTAGAAAAGTAGCTTTGATCGACTGGGATCATATGGGTCAAGCAGGGAAGATTCACAACCATATGTCTATCCCAAAACTTCCCCTAGTGACTCTCTACCCTTAATGTTCAAAATGAGTGCTTTGTGCAGGCAGTAACACTTCTGAAACCTCTTGGGAGAGCAAAAAAGGGCAATTTGGAGAAGGGTGTTGAGATAATTAAACACTGTTTCCCTCACATACATAATTCCTCTACTCCCAACCATCTCCTCTCAGAGCTGCTTTTCTTAAAAACAAGTAAAAGTGATGGGTATCTACTATACATAAGTGCACACATTGTGTAACCCATGCTGGTGGGCAGTACAATAAAATCCCCCCCCCCCCGAGTTCTGGCCCAGAGACAACCTTGAATAAGCAATGTTACCTTCTTTATTATGGAAAACCCCTATTATATAAGGTATGCATTTCTGTTTTTGTTTTTCTGAAAAGTTAATCTTTCCCCCAAGCTTTGTTTACACAGCCTCACTGCCCTTGTGGCCATGTAGACTTATAGTTGGGCACATCCTTGCTTAAAGCAAATGTAGAAAGAGGAATAACCTTCTGGTCCCCAAAGGGTCAAATTAGATTCAGCACATTGACTCACTTCAGAGTCTTGCTTGTTGATCAAAGAACAAACAACAAAGGTCCTGCAAAATGAAGCTTGTGTTGACATTTCTGTTTCAGGGTTTGGTGTTCTTTGTCTTCTTCCTCTTTGCACCTTCCTCTAATAAAAATGTACAAGCACAAAATGTAGTTCATAATTTGTTCTCATGTTTCTGAGCACCTTCTGCAGCTGTGTATAATGTGTCTACAATTTTCACTGCCAAGATGCACGCTAAGGGAAACTTTGGAAGTCACTCAGGACACTATGCATCACTGCTACGAAACAGCCATGTTGAAATCCACTTTTAAATGATGTTTGTGGCAGGTGTAAAGAACTACAGGCAGGGCTTTTTGAAGGGTTCAGCTGGGCTAGTTCAGTACATCAGATTGTGTATGGCAAGCAATGTTGATCTGTTCCACAATAGGTTGACTAATCAGTGGCTTCAGGATAGGCCCACTACCTGCATAGCCTGATGTGAAGAGGCCCTACAGCACTATATTTTATTTACTGTTGCTACTAGGAACTTCTAAATTTCCAGTTTGGTTCCAAGGCATGCACAGCCTGAGATATGGTTGTTAAGGTGTTTTCTTATAAAATTAACCTGAGAAGTCATCCTGCTCTCCACAGTGATCAGTACAGGCTGGAGGTTTAGGATAATTGGTACCTAAGTAAAGTCCTGTCAAATTGGGCATGCATTTGAGTGTGGCAATTGAGTTATAAGACAATGAGCATTTGTCTTGTTCATTCATCCTGATATGCTTGTAGAGCCTTTACACATGCCTTCCTACTAGTCGTTCATTCACCCCACACTTTTTAGTGCATTTTCACCATCACTTTCCAAATGGCAAAAAGTCATGTTTTTTTAAAAAATTAATTTGTTGCAGCACGGTTTTAATCCGTTTTTATTACACAAACATAAACTTCAGATATGTACTTGAACCCCTCCCTCAAAACAACGAGAGTCTGGAATGCTTAGTAATAGCTTTCTAGGGCATGAAAAAGAAGTAGTCTTCCTTTCTTAAAATGCAAGTGAGTCTAAATCAAGACAGATCGCTAGAGGCTCTCCAGCATACAGAGTAAACTTGCTACTCTGGAGTCATGTGGTCAGTGCTTTGGTCATTGTGCCCCGGGACTTTGCAACATATCTTTCACCAGTCTTTCCACATAGCAATACAGTGGTACCTTGGGTTACATATGCTTCAGGTTACATATGCTTCAGGTTACACACTCCGCTAACCCAGAAATAGTGCTTCAGGTTAAGAACTTTGCTTCAGGATAAGAACAGAAATCGGGCTCTGGTGGCGCGGCGGCAGCAGAAGGAGGCCCCATTAGCTAAAGTGGTGCTTCAGGTTAAGAACAGTTTCAGGTTAAGAACGGACCTCTGGAATGAATTAAGTACTTAACCCGAGGTACCACTGTACTTTGTTCTTTGAACAGATGCATTCTAACATGGGACAGTTCCTGCTCAAATGTTGTCGGCTTAGCTAAAAGTCTAGACACAGCTGGACACACACGTCACAGTTCTCCAGTGAGTTGGTTTCAAACAGGGAAGTTGTGGCCCTTCAGATGTTGTTGGCTACAACTCCCATCCTCCCTCTCCATTGGCCATGCAGGCAGGGGCTGATTTGAGTTGAACTCCAACAACATTTGGGTCCTCACCCCTGTTTTAGAGGCTCCTGGAGGCAAACAAATCCCTTCACCTTGTAGAGCATCTATCTTTCTTCACAGCCTAATTGTTTGCCTTAATTGCCTGGATTTGATTGCTCCACCTACCCATCCCATCCCTGTACTGTATTATATTTCATTAACCCATATCATACACTGATTAATAATACCATCACATTTCAGGATTCTCTAGAAATGCATATAAAAGTGGCAGGGGCCAAACAAACATCAACCAAGCTTCCTTACTCTTGTATGTGTTTGTCACTCGCAGTCATAGACGAGCTGTTCTCCAGTGCAAGTCTCCAGCTCCTGCTTTGCGTACACACACACACACACACACACACACAGCCTGGCTGCCTGGGGAGAACAGACTTCCGCAAGGCAGCCTTCCAGAGACAGCCAGAGTGCTCAGAGAGACGGAGCTGCTGGAGAGCGCCTGGGAATGGCTGACAGCTACATTGAGGAATCGGATCTCTTTCCTGAGAAAGAGGAGACTTTGGAGTGGGGTTACGAAGAAGGTAAGGAGGTTGGGGCTTGAAACTGTGAGCTGCTAGGTGGGCTGAGCGAGTGAAGCATTTTCTTTGTGTGCCTGAGTGTGCGTGTGTGAGAGAGAAAACTTAAATATAAAGTTCACATTTACTCTTGTCACCAATACGCCTTGGAAATACTGTTTGAAGATCAGGTGTCATTTTAGCACATTGAAAAAGGGTGTGTGTGCAAACTATCGGGTTAAGAAAAGCATGTTATTTAATTTTAGGTTAAAAAAACCCCAACCAACACAAAACACAGAAACTCTAGAACTGCTTCAGCAGTAAGCCCTTCTCTTTCCGAAGGCAAAGATGCAGCATTTCCACAAATAAGTTGCACATTCCCTCGCTGTGTTTGAAAGTCAAACACTGTAGCTCTGACAGCGCCACTGGCTGTACACACAAAAAGCTGGGTTGCTTTTGTTGCTTTTTACTGTCCAGTGAGCACAGACTGAGGGAAATCAAAAGGGATTTCTAATCTCCTCTCACATTTGATAATCCAAGCTGAATTTAATAACACGGGTACAGAAATGTTTATGGCTAGGACTCACAAATGGCAATGTGTAAATGAAGCAGACAGTCACAGTTGCATATGAGTTGTGGAAATGATGGTCTTGTGACAGAAGGCTAAGAAAAACAAAAATTGCTGGTTAGATGTGTTAGCCCACTAGCGGGGGATCCTAAAAGATAGCAAGTTAGCAAGTTAGTAATACCTCGTTATTAAAGCCAACTAAACCTTCACAAAGTAGTGGGTGAATTTTCAAGCTTACGGAGTGTGGGGGGGGAGGGTATGGGTATTACCCGCAGTGTTGCTTGGATATGGTAAAAATATCCAAGTCTACAGTTTCTATGATGAAGTGAAGATGTTATGAAAACTTAATGAGATTAGATTGTGTTAAGCAAAATCAAGATCTTGGGTGCAAGTATAGTCTGACATTTTCTTCAATCTGAAGAAGCATTCTGGTGAACACAGATACTTGCTTATTTGCTTCATGATGTTTTATTTGAAACTGATTTTGTCTCAGCAAAAGTTTCTCTTCAAAACCAGAACTGGGTTTCCATGATTTGGGCTTAACTGAATCAGATGCTGGTTGAAAAGACATTGCTGTCCAGTTCAGATGGGTCAGTGATCATGGCAAGCATTTTACATTTGCTTCTTGGAATATAGAAATGTTAATTTCTTTTTTCAAATATATTTTGTCCCCTAATGAAACTTCTTTGGCATGTCTCACAGCCACCTAGACCAAATTAACTGTGCCCTTTCATTTAACGTGCATGTTTTAAAAAATATGAATGGCAGGAGCTGGGCTGGGCTGGGGGATGATAAATAGGACTGCAGTTGATAGGTAGGAGAGAATAACCTGATGAAAATTGCTCTTTGAAGTTTCTGTTTTCATGGCAAATGTAAATTTCCTCCTAATGCAAACAGCAGCTTTCAATGAGTGTTTTCCCATCAGGACTACAGCAGGGAGGAGAGCGTTAAAATCCACCTCCCTATCTGTTGTGGATCTTATTACTTTTAGCACCCTAACAGTTTTAAAATATAGGCACAGTAAATGTAAAGATTCACTTAACTAGTAGTGGCTAGGGTGGTGCTGCAGAACCACCCTCCTAACACTGTCATTACTGCCATTTATTTGGATGATGCGGGGAGGCAGGGGACAAGATGTCAGGGCTGTGTTGGCACTGATGGAGTAAATCCTGCACTCCTGCAAATGTGCCCACAAAGCTCCGAACATCACCACTACCCTGCCGCATCAGTGACACTAGGGTCAGGAGGCCAACAATGCTCCCCGCTATGAGGACAGATTCTGCATTTAATATCATAGATATAGATACGGATGATATAGATATATAGGTAAAGGACCCCTGACAGTTAAGTCCAGTAACGAATGACTCTGGGGTTGTGGCGCTCATCTCGCTTTGCTGGCCGAGGGAGACAACGTTTGTCCGCAGACAGTTTTTCTGAGTCATGTGGTCAGCATGACTAAGCCACTTCTGGCGAAACCAGAGCACATGGAAATGCCATTTACCTTCCTGCCGGAGCGATACCTATTTATCTACTTGCACTTTGACGTGCTTTCGAATTGCTAGGTTGGCAGGATCTGCGACCGAGCAATGGGAGCTCACCCATTGGTGGAGCTTCATGCTCTGGCACCGGGGGGCAGAGAGCAGGCGGAGGCAGGGCGTGCGGCCGCAGGGGTGTGGTGCCTAGCATGGGAGGGGGCAGCCACGACGGCACCCTGCCGGGATTGCGCTGCCAAGGGCAGTGCATCCCCCACACACTCCTCTTCCTCCACCAGTGAGCTCACCCTGTCATGGGGATTCGAGCCCTAGGCTCAGTGGTTTAGACCACAGAGCAACCCATGTCCCCTAATATCATATATAGTTTGGCCCTGAGCCTAGGACTTGCTGATCAGAAGGTCGGCAGTTCGAATCCCCGCGACGGGGTGAGCTCCCATTGCTCCTGCCCACCTAGCAGTTCGAAAGCACATCAAAGTGCAAGTAGATAAATAGGTACCGCTCCAGCGGGAAGGTAAACGGCGTTTCCATGTGCTGCTCTGGTTTGCCAGAAGCTGTTTAGTCATGCTGGCCACATTACCTGGAAGCTGTACGCCGGCTCCCTCGGCCAATAAAGCGAGATGTGCGCCGCAACCCCAGAGTTGGCCACGACTGGACCTAAAGGTCAGGGGTCCCTTTACCTTTACTATTTTGTACTTTGGACATCTAGAAGGAACAGGAAGATTTGGGCGAATCCTTTTAAGAGTTTTAAGAAACTTGCATCAGCATAAGGAAGTAGACGGAATATATTTTAGGGCTCATGATTCGAAGAGCATATAGAAATAGTTTAATTTTTAATTTCAAACAAGTATGTTTTCTTTTGTCCTAGGGGTTGAGTGGGGATTAGTCTTTCCTGATGCTAATGGAGAATATCAGTCTCCTATTAACCTGAATTCAAGAGAAGCAAAATTTGACCCTTTGTTGTTGGAAGTATGCTTATCACCAAACTATGTTGTGTGCCGTGACTGTGAGGTCATCAATGATGGACACTCGGTTCAGATCCTCTTAAAGTCCAAATCAGGTATGCTTTCCTATTCTTTATTGTTTGCTTTGGGATATGTCCAAACCATCATTGCTGTCACATTTTAAAATTATGCTATCCTTATCAACAACAAAAAGCAGACTGTTTCATACACATTAGCTCAATATTCTCACAAGCACCCTGTAAGGTCGGTGTTATTATCCCCATATTACAGGTGTGAAGACTGAGGCTGAGAATGGCTTGCCTAAGGCCACCTAGCAAGTCTACAGCTGAGGTGAGCATTGAACAAAGGACTGACTGACATGCTTCACACTCTTAGCTACTTCAGAGACAGGCTCCCGTTCCATTTCATTTTTTTACCTTCATTGTGCAAGTCATAAACCACAGACATACCCTTCTTTTTTCTTTATTGAAAAACTCTCAGAGAAAACTCTGTGGATGCTTGTTTGTAACATAAAAATGGTCAGCTACAAGTCATAAGACTGTGAAGAAGGTCCCAGAAGCGTTCAAGCAAGGAGTGCAATGCTTCAAGCATATGTGTTTTCAGCCACTTTCTGCCTGCCTTCCTCTGGTTCAGACACATAAAATAGGGAGAAATAATGCTAGAATTGGCTTCTAACCAACAGAATTGTAATAATCTGTAACAGTGATGGAAACTGGCTTGGCAAAAATGGGCAACACTTAAGATGCCCTCTCCATGTTCTTGGGTCTTCGCGTGCATGTCCCATCCCCAAATTTAAAATTGTCTCTATGGTGTTTTTTTTAACTTCTATTAAAAAGAGAATTCTCCAACTTGCCACTATATGCTGACATACGACACCAGCATCAAGAGTTAGCAATAGGAAGAAAGCCTTTTATTTATCATATTCTTGGCAGTCTCTAAATGCTATGAAGCAGCTGGGAGACCACAAGGAAAGTTCTCACTGTGTCTCTAGCTGGCTGGTCAGCAGGAAATATTTGTCAATGGACCCGTACCGGATGCTTGCAACTCTTAGGTTGGGAAGAACACAGGAAGGCGGCTCAGTCCTTTGGTCTATCCAGCTCAGTATTGTCTGCACTTACCAGAAGCAGTTATCCAGATTTTCAGGCAGGGGACATTCAAGGATTGAACCCAGTACCTTCTGCATAGCTCTACCTACTGCTGAGCTATGGCCCTTGCCCACCTGCAGTCCCTACCTGCAGGCTCACAATTGAATAGACATGATACCAAGGGGAAAAGGAATGGGAGGGAAGAGGAAAACCTTTGGTGCAGCTGCTCCTTCAGTGGCCAATGGATAAAGCCAGTTCAGTCTCTCTTCCGCTTGCCAATTTTCTTCCTGAGAGGCAGAGGGTGCTGATGTTACAAGAGCCCTTTATCCCACAGTTGCTGGTGGGGGTATTTGAGGGAGGCTCCCTTTCTGCTGCTCTTCTTAGAGCCACTTAAAATATTCTGCAGAAGTGACAGGAGAGGAAGTACAATTGACTTGTGCTTCATCTGCCCACACTTGCAGGCCATGTCCAAATTGGAGAAAAGCATCTAACTCGTATGGGAAAATATCTTCAAATTCAGGGCAGAATGTACATCCTCAGGGATGCGCATAGATTTCCCCCCAGCAATATTATCTGGAAGCATAGCAGATCATCCTTCTCTTACTTTATGTGGAAAATGTCTGAAATGGTCCATGGTATTTCAATATCAGGAAGAGGGCTATAAAAATCACTAACTTTTTCACTGCTGCTAGTATCTCATGGGAAAAAAACTAACATTTCAGACATTCCCCACTGAAAATGTCCTTACTGCACCTCTAGAACTGATCATTCATGTACAGTATATATCTACTTTTCAGCAGAGAGCAAACCATGAATAGATAATATGGGTAGAGTTAACTTTTAATAGCAAAAGAGATGTGTTATATGGTTAAAGGTGGAAATGTGCATATTTTGTCAATATATTCTATGCATGTTCTGGAGGAGTAGCCTTATTACAGTGAAGCAGATGAAGAGTCTTATAGCACCTAAAAGACTATCTGATTTGCTGCAACGTAAGTATTTGACAATGAAAGCCAGTATTCAGCAGTTCCTGCTGCAATAAACGAGTTAGTCTTTGAGGTGCAATAGAACTTCCTTTACCGGTTTGGAAATTTGCATTCAGTTTTCAAAGGGAGAAAAACTATGAAGAGGAAGCTGATTGTCAGCCTTAAAGGTAGCAGTTTTATATACAGGATCCAAGACAGTCTCGTGTTTTGCCACAGACTCTGCCAGTTTCCGTAACCAGGGGAACACAGGATCACTAATTGCTCATGTAATGGCTTTTCTATAGACCATCCTCTGAGTCTCAGCCCTGAATCTACTGGAAGCCATCCTGGAAGAAGTGCTTCTAGGATGGGACTCATAAAATATCCATTAGAATTGAGAGTAGTTCTTCAAAGCCCTGTGCCTACTGAGTCTACAGGCATGTGGCAAAATAATGTCTTTTGAAAAGTCAGCCTTGGGAGATCTTCCTTACTTTCTCTGCTGTGAAAGGACTGAATCAACTCTCTGAAGAACGTCATGGTTACTTTTCTATTATCATCCATTCGTATCCCTTCCTTCTGCATATCTCATTACAATCTGTGTCAGTCAAACCTGGGTCACTTTGGTGCTTTTATGTAGACATGTAAAAAAACCCAGTGTTCTTGGCAATATTCCAAATATATAATGCTGTGACTTGTAGATCCAGGCCATATCACTGTAGATCATTCACTCAGTGTTCTAGTTCTTGTAGAAATTATATGCAGATATATTTTCTTTGTCTGGGCTCTGACATTTGGATATCCTGGGTTTGTGAAAGATTAGCAAGTTTATACTTTTTTAAAAAGCAAGGCCATAGAATAATAGACAGTTTATTTCATGCATAAGATGATATTGCTGAGGATTTAAGCTTATCTTATCCATCTATGTCTGTCAGTTAGGACAAGCTGTTAGTTATGGGCCCAATTCAGCTGAACCCTGCCAGGCTCAATAGACACATGTTTTCTCCCGACATGCTGGATGGGGAAAACAGGGCTCCATTAATCTCTTTAATGCATACAGGTGCTGTGCCTGCACTTGACTAGACTTGGCCCATATATGACTAAAATGGTTGAGAATTTGTTTTGTTTTTTCATGTTCAGCTTACTCACAACAAGCGTAAGTTACATAGTATGCACAGAACTCCATCAGCTAGTAAAGATGCAGGCCTGATGTATGGATATGTACACATTCACGCCTTGAAGAGATATACAGACCAGAAAATTTTTCTTCATGAAAACTGCTCTGCCTCATCAAAATAAGAGCGCAACAAGAAGTGTGCAGCCATGGAGCACTGTTTGTCACATGTGACCTCTCTCTCATTCTCACTAAATGGAAGAACTATTGTTCTGTCGGCTGAGAAAATCTTCAGAAAATGGCAGGCTATGAATGTCACCTGCTATTATTTGTGTTCTTTTGCAGCGTTAGCAGGAGGACCCTTGCCTCGGGGGCATGAATTTGAACTGCACGATGTCCGGTTTCATTGGGGGAGAGAAAATCAGCGTGGCTCTGAACACACTGTTAATTTCAAAGCTTTCCCCATGGAGGTAAGAGTGGTCTTGCCCTTATCTAGCCTTACACTTTTCCTGTGAATTTGAAACTAATGTCTAAAAACCTGTTGGTTTGATTTTAACCCTGCAGCTTATTGATTTATAGTCACTTTTAAAGGCTGTCATCTTAAGTATGCATTGGGAACTTATAATTAACATGTATAGCATTGTGCCTCTGGTGCAAATTCTACTGCATGATTAATCGGTCATAAAGTTAACCTTCAGCACTATTAACTTCTGCATTAATAATATTCTAACAACCTCTGCTAAACTTAGCATTTCCTTGACTACTAGCTGGAACATGGGCAGAGGCACACCTGGCTTCCTTTTTTTTTTTTAATTGACAAATAAATGTAAGCCAAGCCAAAATTATCAATGGATTTGTTCAGAAACAGCTTTCACTACTTAAAAGCAAGGTCTTGAATGGTACTGATCCACAGTGGGTTTCCAGTTTTTAGTGAAAAACAGGTATAGGGTTACTGCAGTCCACAATGTGAGCCATGTGCGGTAGTCCAACTCCATGCGTACATTTACGGTGCTAGTTGGTGATATTCAAGTGTTTCCTCATGCTATGCAGTTAATCTTTTTATATTATAAAAGCTCTTTCAGTGCATATTTGTTTGGCTTTAAATATTTTCATGCTATTTATCTTAATCCCCTTAGAAGCTTGAAAACAAATTTCCTTGCCATTTTAATTCTTTGTGGGATTTGTTACGAAGCACTGAGCTGCTGCGATAAAGGCTTGTTTTTAAGTACTATGCCAAAAGGATTTTGGGCCCACTTCAGACATTAGCTCTGCTCTGTCACTAAAAGGGAAACATTAAAACAGTTGAAAATCTGCACAAAACCTTGAGCAGTTAATTGAGAAAATTAAAAGTGGGAAGGGCCAGTTCTGTTCCTTTAGAACATCAGGAATTTCATCGTCATTTGTTCTGAAAATGAGCATAAATCACAGTGCAGAGGTCTACTCAGGTGTAAATCCCATTGAGGTCTAGGTAAGTGTGCCTACTCAGAAGTAAGTCTTATTGAATTCAGTGGTGCTTACTTCCAGGTATGTGGTGTTAAGATCACATCCTTGGTGTATGAACTCCCTGGGAGCCAGCGTGGTATAGTGGTTAAGAGCGGTAGACTCGTAATCTGGTGAACTGGGTTTGCTTCCCTGCTCTTCCACATGCAGCTGCTGGGTGACCTTGGGCTAGTCACACTTCTCTGAAGTCTCTCAGCCTCACTTACCTCACAGAGTGTTTGTTGTGGGGGAGGAAGGGAAAGGAGATTGTTAGCTGCTTTGAGACTCCTTAAGGGGAGTGAAAGGCAGGATATCAAGTCCAAACTCCTCCTCCTCCTCTAAACATGCATTTTAGGGGAAAACTTTTCTACTGGAACTAAGGAAGTTAAACACAATTTGAATCTTTGTATGATTGTTGTGCAACAATCTGAAAGCACAAGGCAGGTGTTCTCTTACAGAGTTAAGTTCAGAACTGTTTTGTCTGCTCTCGAGCCACAGGTTGCTTCCGGGTGACCTGTTTATTGAGCTTCATTCTGATTTGCTTGTGTGGAAGCTACACAACTTCCCATCAATCGTTATCCCACATTTACTAGTCATGTATGTTCCATTGTTTTCCTTACCACAGACAGTGAGTTTTTTAAAAAAACAAGCGGATCTGATGAGCAATAGCACGTTAATCTACTGTAATTGTACAAAACTGAATTTGCTGGTATTCAGCTGAATCTTTCACACAAAATGTGTGGAGTTTGGAACTGGCAGGGTTAAAACTCCGTGGTGCCCTGTATCTGGGAGGAGCTCTAGGAGGAGCTTGATGCAGGGAAATGCGTCACAGTGTGTGTCTGTGTTCAGTTCTACTTTCACTTCTGACTGAGACAGACACAGCTCAGCTCAGAGGAGCTGTGAGGGTGCTTTGGAAGCACGGAGAATGGCTGAAGTTTCCGATGGATGTTAATGGATTTATTGCCTTGTAAATAAACGCTTCTAAAGATAAGAACCGATCTGCCTATGGACTTGATTTATCCCTTTCTCACATGGACTCAGGACCGCTGCATTACTCTGCTAGGCCAGCTCAGAGCTTCCAGGGATACGGAGCTGAACTGGGAAGCTTGCTGGACCCAATATTCCGGACGGGGATTTTATTTTCACCCCCAGAGGTTATGGATCTTACGTGTTTCCTGACATGTGTGAGAAGGGAGGAAAACTGCCAGCTTTGAGTTGCTGTGATCTCCTGCCAGGAAGGGCAGTGGGAGATGCTGGTGATCGGAGCCAAGAGCCAAGATAGACGGCTGCTTCGGAGGACCAGCTTGCTGGCAGAGTGAGTACGCTTGAAGCCCCGGGGGGAGGAGATGGCTGCTGCTCAGGCACAGGGCCATGAGAGCTTCAATATCCCCTTTGAAAGGCTGCATGGAGCCAATTGGGAAGCCTGGAGTACACGCATGTACTACTGGCTGGAAGAAAGGAAGCTTTGGGATTACACCCAAGCTGATCCAGCCCTTGCCCAGCCCAGTGAGAGGTCTGCAGGAGCAGTGGAAGCAGATGTGGCTGCTCTGAAGAGAGAGCAAAGGGTGCTAGCAATCCTGAGGGCCAGCGTTGATGCTCGACTGTTGCCAAAGCTCCAAGGGAGTAAGCCCTGGGTCGCGTGGCAGGCACTGAAGACGGCATGTCAGGCCGCAGTGGGAGCCAGACCAGAGGGGGCTGCAAGCCCAGGAGGGGCTGAGGGACGCCCAGAAAGCCCAGTGGGGGCTGGGATAGTGTTGGGAAGCTGTTTTTATGCTTCAACACATCTGTGTGATGGACTGTGTGCTGGAGAGAGGCTGAGAGCTGGCAAGAGGAAGGCAGTTGCAAGCTGTTCCTCAGGCAGACAGGCACCCAACAGTGGGGGTGCAGGCCATGCAAGCCGACGCAAGAGCTCTGAGAAAGCGAAAGTCTCCAAGAGTTGTTTGTGCTCTGAGGCGACGTCCAACAGCGCTGGGAAGCATCCGCTGGAAGCCCAGGCTGTCAAGGACACCAGCTGGAGTGGAATGTCAACAAAGCAGGTTCCCAGAGCTAGACGTGGGAAAGCTGCAGGCCAGGAGAAAAACAAAGACAAGGCGTCTTATCACCTCACAGCTGCGACAGTGTGCCTGGGAAAAGGCAAAAGCCTTGATCGGGGGGAGGCTGTGTGCATGGCAACCAGACAGAACACTGACTTTGACTCTTGCAGAGGCCCCGGTGGGGGTGCGAGCGTTGCCATGGCAGCTTTGAAAGACAGCCAGAGAGACACTGTATCTCTAATTATAGACACGGGAGCGACTCACTGTCTTGTGCCATCTGCTGGGCTCCTGAGGAACTGCAAGACAGTTAAAACTGGACGTTATGTCAAAATGGCAGATGGAGTTAAAAGACCACTGACTAAATCTGGGTCTTTATATTGTTCTTTTCTAGATTGTTGGGTGCAAGCTTATGTTGTCCCAGAGCTTGCGCACTCTCTTTTAAGTGTAACAGCCTTAAATGATGAAGGGTTCGATGTTCGGTTCTCTAACAAATTATGCTCTTTTTACAGGGATGGAAAGAAGGTCTACAGCGTTGAGAGAACAGACAGGCTCTTTCTGGTGCAGATGCCTGTTGGAAATGGGGCTGGTGGAGAAGTGGGACTAGTGGAAAATGGGACTGGTGGAAAAATGGGGCTGGTGGAAAATGGGGCTAGTGGAGAGTCCATTGAAGACGCACAAGTGCAGTGTGCTAATGTCCCACCACACAATGATTGTATTCATCTGTGGCACCGAAAATTTTGTCACGCTGGGTGGTCGTCTGTGCGAAAAGCCGCAGAGAACACCATTGGTTGTAGGTTCAAGGCATGTGACAGATACCTTGATTGTCAAGCCTGTAAGCAATCTAAGGTCACAACATGCTCATACCCCAGGTCAGAGAGGCGAACCAGCAAACCCTTTGAACTTGTGCATGCAGATTTGTCAGGACCCATGCCAACACCTTCTTTAGCTGGGTCGAAATGGGTTTTGGTTCTGATTGACGATTTTTCGAGGTTTTTCTTGGGTTTTTGCGCTTCAATGTAAGTCAGAAGCAGCTGCACTGATCAGAGATTGGATCACAGCGATAGAGCTGCAGTTCTCTACCAGGGTGATTTCCTTTCAATCTGATCGCGGGGGTGAGTTCACAGGTTCTGCGCTGCAATCGTTTTTCAGGCAGAAGGGTATCAGTCATCAATTGACTGCCCCCTACAGTCCGCAACAGAATGGGATTGCAGAGAGGAAGTTTCGCACACTACAGGAATCAGCATACGCAATGTTGGCAGATTCGGGGTTGCCACAGCGTTTTTGGGCTGAGAGTTATCGGACAGCATGTTTTGTGCAGAATACGGTGTACAATTCCAGTGTAGGCAACACACCGTATTTTTTGTTGCATCAGAAGAAGCCGAAGGTGGGGTTTTTTCATGTTTTTGGGTCTCCGGCTTGGGTTCTCACTCCAAAGGCCATGCGCAGAAAGGGTGAGCCAAGGTCTAGGAAGATGATCTTTGTGGGCTATGAGCCGGGTTCAAAGGCGTGGCGTTTCGCATACCCTACTGGCAACCAGTCCAAGCTGCTTATTAGCGGCAGTGCTGAGTTTTGCGAGCAGAGTGGGTGGAAACGTCTTCACGGGAACCCAGATGTTCTGTCAGACTCAGATGAGGAAGAGGAGGAAGGCGAGGCTGAACCGGCTGCTGATGCGCACGGTCCACAGCAACAGGGTCCAGCGCCAGTTTCTCCAAAAGGGAGTCCCAGGACCCCTCCACAGGTTTCTGTCAAGTCTGAGCCAAAGAGTGAGCCCTCCCCGCCTGCAGAACCAGTTGTGAGGCCAAAAAGGCGCAGCAGGTCAGAGGGGGAGGTTTCTGACACAGGAGATGGTAGGGTTGATCCAGGTGAATCAGGCGCAGTTCCAGAATTCACGCTGAGGAGGTCAGCAAGATCAACGAAAGGAAAGCCACCTGAAAGGTATGAAGCCACTAGTGTTTGGGTTGGTGTGG